GAGATGCTCTCAGTAAATAAGCAGAGTCTCACTGTTGAAGCTGTTTGCAGCAGGAAATCTGATAAAGTGGCTCAAAAGCGTCAGAGTGCAGTTATCTGCCAACTTCTTTGCTGCTTTAACTTCTGTGACCTTTGATATTAAACATTTGCTTTTACAGCCTGCAACCACAGGTGGCACCAAATCCATCGTCTAGATTAACGTTTATTGTTGTTGTCTTCTGGATTAAAGACGTTTAATAGGCTGGCTGAGGTCGATAACCCGAGACATTTGGAGGATGTTTAAAGGTTGGAGGTTCAGAGCGTTTTTGGCCTCACTGACTTTTTTCTGCCTCCGCAGGAACGCCGACGAACGCCGGCTGCTCTGGAAACTGCCCAACCTTTCCCCGACCAACCACAGCAAAGGTCAGGGCTCTGATTTTTCCCTCGTCTCTGTTTTTAACCCCCATCGAACCGAGAAACCTCGATTAGTTGATGCTCGACACCAGTAACCGATTCGTTTTCTCCTCTCTGCATCACTGACAGTCGTTGCTCTTCCCAGAGGTGTGCGATCACCTCGTTAACTGCAGAATTAACATGTGAGCGTGGCAGCTTCTGAATACTGAGCCGACTGATTGCATGACATTAATGGTACACAATGAGAGGTGGCTCTAAGGCTCTAATTTCAGCTGGGAAAGTCGAACATTTAAGTCATTTAAACTGAAGGTTTTCTTCACCCGTGTGCGTCTTTGTACCCGACACCCACAGCTCTCCTCTGTATCGCATACCTTATTCTTCTAATCATATATTATTACCTCTATGTGAAGCAAAGGGCTTTACAGAGACCGATAAGGAAACTATTCACAGGACAAAGCACTGATAGTTAAAGTTGTGCGAGGTTTAACTCCTTCCTGCTCCTTCGAATCCTTTTTGTTTCTTTACGAGTTCAATTTTAAAAGTGCAGCTTTGCATAAATGCTGTCTGACAGTTTGTCATCAGTTAGCTTCACCGACTGTCTTATAAACAGAAGGTGTTGCTCAACTAGCATTTCTTCCTGTACGCCTTCGAACGAGGCGGCTTCGTCATACGTGAACGCGCACACCTCTGCGACTCTCGCTTATTCGTTTGTTTGCGAGTCAAACAGGTGAGCCTGTTTGAGGCTCACCTGAAACAGCTCACCGACAGATTTGCTTCTGTCGGACGATCACGATCAAACTGTCAGTGTGTGCTTAAGGAGCAGACTTGCAGCTTTGTTAACTCTGGTAACAGTCCCCCCGTTACAAACGAAGCAGACGTAACATCTGAGCGGCTGAATGTGGATCTCGTGTGGACATGAGGAGATGTCAGCAAAACTCTGGAGCTCCATGGTTACTTTCAACTTCCAGGCTTCTTTGGTGTTTTTACTCTTCTTTGTAAAACCACTTTTTTCATTTATAATGTGGCTTCTTTTGTTACATGGAAAACAAATGTAAACATTTGGGTGTCGTGTTTTAAGAAACTCCGCCCCTTCTTTGTACTTTATATCTGACAGATGCCGCAAAATGATTCTGCTCTTCACCTGAACTCAAAGTGTGTGTGTGTCCTGTTCAGACATCTTTGTGAGGACCAAAAAGTGGAGGTTTACTCTGCTTGTGGGGACCAACAGTCACTTGTGAGGACACACACGCCACGTGTTTAAAGACATTTTTGAGGCTCAAAATGTGGTTTTATTGTCAGGGTTACAGTTAGGTTATGGTTAGAGTTCATTTTTCATGTTTAGGGAAAACATTATGTCAATTAGATGTCCTCACTAAGATAGCAAACGAGAATGTGTGTGTGTGTGTGTGTCTCAGTGAGGTAAACGGACCTTGTGAGTAAGGCTGCCCCAACGATTATTTTGATAGTCGACTAATCAGATCATCATCCATTGGACATAAAACGTACAGCTTATTGCACCAGCAGCATCTGCTCTTATATAACTATCATTAGCTTACAGCTTTAAGTGTTTAAGGT